TTTCTCTTATGCCCCTCAGAGTTCTTCCAAGAGTTCTTCCAGAGTTCTTCATTGCCCAACTCCAAAGCCATCTCCACATGTCTAGATATTCTGACAGCACCCCACTTCCTAGGGCCAAGATCTGTGTTGGTTTCCACTCGGTGTTGCTGTAGCATTGCCATACTTCAGTGGCTCAAAACAGTGCAAGTTCCTCATCTTGCAGTTCTGGTGGTGAGAAGTCTCAGATTCTACCTTACGGGCCAAGATCAAAGTGTCGGCAAGGCTGTGGTCATTCTGGTGTCTCTGGGGGGAGAGTCGGCTTCCTCGTCTCTTCTGGCTGCTGGAAGCTGCCCACAGCCCTTGGCACAAGGCTCCTAGGCAGCTGTCCTGTCACTCAGCCTGCCTCTCCCCTCCCTCCCTGCTTCCTCCTGCCTCTGTGGGCCCACCTGGGTTATCCAGCATCCTCTCCATGTTCAGATTCACTTCATCACAGCTGCAGAATCCCTTTTGCCATGGGGACTGTATTTACAGGCCCTGGGGACTTGTATGTGGATGTCTCTGTGGGGGCCGTTATTCTGGCTGCCACAGCCAGCTGGGGGTGTGCTGGCTCCCAGGCCATAATCTGGGCATCCCTGGATGGGTGGCCCCAGGGAGGGCTGCCACTCCTATCTGCCAGGCGGGTGCTCCTTTATGCCTTGCGTTCTGCCAAGATCCCAACCCAGCAGCACCCCTGGCTTGCCCAGGCACCTGACCAAGTCCAGGCTAGGCAGACATGGGATTAAGGTAGCACAGATTTTTGCCCCGAAGTCAGGCATATTGCGCTCCGGTACCCAGAAGCAGGATGCGGGGGCTTGGCCCTGGGCTACAGGAACTCTTCTTGCCCTGGCTGTGTGGGGTCAACCCTGAGGTCCCCGTCTCTGAGGCAGGCAGGTGGGCACACTATTAGGGCTTAGGAGCTGGTTTGTTGCTATAACCAAGTCCCACAGACTGGGTGACTTAAACCACCTGTATTTTTTCATAGCTCGGGAGGCTGGAAGTCCATGATCAAGGTGGCAGCAGGGCTGGTTTCTCCTGAGGCCCCTCTCCTTGGCATGTGGATGGTCTTCTCTGTCCTCACATGGTCATCCCTCTGACTGCGTGTGTCCCAATGTCTTCATGTTGGACAGCAGTCAGATTGGATTGCCGCCTGCCCTTCAGTGACGATTACCTCTGTATAAAGGCCCCATCTCCAAATAAGGTCACATTTGAGGGATAAGACTCCAACATGTGGATTGAAGCATTTGCCTTTGGCATACCCCAAGTCCCTGAGGGCCTGCTGTGACGGCACTGGGTGACCTGGGCCTGCCCCACTGAAGCTGTGCTCGGGGTCCCTGGATGCGTGGCTTCCCCAGTCCCCTCCGGAGTTGGCATCAAGGGAGGGGGCTCCTTCTCTGGCCTGAGTCCTATAGGCTCTGGCCTAGTTGCCCACAGAGCCACCCCAGGCGGTGGTGAAATGCCCCCCACTGCTCATGATGCATCCTGGGGCCAGTGCTGACTTAGTGCCTCTTCCAGAGGGACCTTTTCCGTGTTCTTGGGCCTGCTGTGTGGGGTGCATGAGGCCTCAGGTGCCATGGCCCTGCCACTCACAGATTCTGGCTTCCATGGGACCCAGCCCCACTCCCACAGGAGGTCTGCTGTGATTCTCCATGCCCCACGCCCCACAGCCTGGCCCTCCTGTGCCCCAGCTTCTGCCCCAGAGGTTGTCAGAGTTTCTGCCAGTGTCTCCCGCACCCGCACTACCATTCACATGTGTTAGGATTCACTCAAGGTGGCTGGCAAAATAGGAAGGGAAATGACAGGGAAGTTAGATTATAGTCTTAAACTTTTTGGAAAGCGGAAAAGTTTCAGCGAGACTCGCTAAAGGCAGCCAGTTCTTAATGTTAGAACTTTAAGTCGTAAGGTCAACATTAAGATAATGAAATCTCCGCCAGTTAAGTCTGCTTACCTCACGTTCCTTTGTCCCCACTCATTTGTCTGCTCACATAACCGTGTGCTAGATGGCCCTCTCAGCACACGTAAAACCACTCTTAGCCATATTAATTATCCACAAGCGTGTTGACTTAGAACCTCTGTTATTAAATCTATACTGAATAAACGTGAGGGAAACAAGGAGTCATGTTCAGTTAGCTGCAGTCGCCCTCTGGAAGCCCCTGACAAGCATCCCTAGCCTGCTTAGATCACTGTACTAGGTGTGTGAGTGTATCCATTCACCTGTCGCTGAGTCGGGTCTGCAGGACCGACCTCCACAGGTGGTGATCAGTGGCTCACACGTGCCCTGCCAGCCTGGCCTTACTTCCTCCTGGCCTTGCTGCCAGGTGGGCCTCCTGGGCCACAGGGTTGGCTCGGCCTTGCCAATGATCTGTGGGGCTCAGCTCCCACACTCTTCAGGTACATAAACACACAGTCCCCGTAGCATGTTCCCAAGGACTGGCAGGAGGTCCCCAGGGACGGGGCTGCATGTTGGGCAAAGGCTTGAGTGTATCTGCACCTGCTACAAGGAGCAGGTTTGTCTGCCCAGCTGCTGCAGCTCCTCCCTTGCAGAGAGGGAGCCCTGGGGAGCTGTCGAGGTGGAGTCCGCTGAGAGCTCCATGCGGCCAGGTGCACCCTGTCCTAAGAGCCATTCTCTTGGCGGGTGGGCTGGCTGAGTGGACGGTGCATGCAGGTGGATGCCCAAGGACTGGCTCATGTCAGGGGCCAGGAGGCTGGGAGCCTGTCTGGGCCCCAGGGCGTTAATCAGGCTGAGCTGTGGCAGAGTATGAGGTGGGCTTGGGGCCCTGGGTCATCTAGAAACTGGTTTGCTGAGTGAGATGGTAGGCGTGTGTCCCAGGGAGGCGAGGCTGTGGGTGGCTGCTGCCCACACGGGCAGGCTCCTTCCTCCTGCCCCCACTGGGCCCTCAGCTGCTCTCCCCTCCCATTGCCAGTGCCGCCTGGTCCCCCGAGGCCTGTCCCAGGCTGTCCCCAGGACTGTGAGCCCTTTACCACCTCCCACCCAGCCTCTGAGGCTGGCTGCTCAGCAGGGTCCCACCAGGCAGCAGCAGCCATGGCCCAGCTCCCCATGGCCTCTGTTTGGGGAACCCTGGGCTTCCTGGCTGAGAATTTCATTGTGGTCTATGGCGGCTGCCATCTCTGAGGTCACCACCCGTAAGTTTGAGCTGGGTGTTTGCAGGGGGCACCTCCTGCTCTCCCCAGCTGGAGTTTTCCTTGAGTTCCCACAGTTCCTGAGCATGGCAGGGGGACCCAATGGCGCTTACCAGAGCCTCTGAGGGGACTCTTAGGAGCTGTAAATAGGGGGCTCCAGGAGCAGGCTGGGGCACTGAGCCCTCCCCTCCTCCTGCCTTGCAGAGCTCAGGCCCTGGGGCCTCCAGCAGCCCCAGCGGAGACCACAGCGAGCTCGTTGTCCGGATCGCCAGTCTGGAAGTGGAGAACCAGAGCCTGCGTGGCGGTGAGGCCCGGGCCAGTGGGTAGGGGCTGCCTCTGGCCCCTGCCATCTAACCATGCCCCCCTCGCCCCCGCAGTGGTGCAGGAGCTGCAGCAGGCTGTCTCCAAGCTGGAGGCCCGGCTGAATGTGCTGGAGAAGAGCTCACCCGCCCACCGGGCCACAGCCCCGCAGACCCAGGTGCGTGCCCTCCCCAAACCTGATGCTGCAAGGGGGCCACATGGCCCTGCTGGCTTACCAATCTCCCTGTGCGCTGGCCCCAGCAACAGTGATGAGCTGGCAGCCAGGATACTGGTGTCCTCAAGTCCCCAGGAAGGTTTACAGCTAATCCCCTGGGCAGGTGGAGGCAGCTCTTGTCTTTCCCTGGGCCCTATGTGTTGGGAGCCCCAGCTTGGGTGCACAGGGCCTGCCCTTCCTCCAGTGGAGAGAGGGTGGAGGGCCATGAGGCAGCCCCTGGCTGGGGCGTCTCAGCCTTGCCTCTTGTCCCGTCCCCTGTGGCAGCATGTGTCTCCCATGCGCCAAGTGGAGCCCCCAACCAAGAAGCCAGCCACACCAGCAGAGGATGACGAGGACGATGACATTGACCTGTTTGGCAGCGACAATGAGGAGGAGGACAAGGAGGCGGCCCAGCTGCGGGAGGAGCGGCTGCGGCAGTACGCGGAGAAGAAGGCCAAGAAGCCTGTGCTGGTGGCCAAGTCCTCCATCCTGCTGGATGTCAAGCCTGTGAGTGGGAGGGCAGGGCTTTGGGTGGGTGGGCGCTGCCCTGGCACCCGCCCAGCCTGCTCAGCTTGTGATCCTCCCCCTGCCCTTCTGGGTTCTGGGGAGACTTTAAAGCCAAATTTAGAAGTCTTGGGATAAACAGAAACTTGGAGACATGCACGTGTGAATTTGAATTGTTTTCTGAGGGCCCTTTAAGGAAACAATTGTGCACACAGTGGTGGAGGGGCACAGGTATTCTAGGGGTGGCTGACCCCAGCTTTTCTTCTTTCCCCATAGTGGGATGATGAGACGGACATGGCCCAGCTGGAGTCCTGTGTGCGTTCCATCCAGCTGGACGGGCTGGTCTGGGGGGCCTCCAAGCTGGTGCCTGTGGGCTACGGTATCCGGAAGCTGCAGATTCAGTGTGTGGTGGAGGATGACAGGGTGGGCACAGACTTGCTGGAGGAGGAGATCACCAAGTTTGAGGAGCACGTGAGTGGGCTGGCCAGGGAGGGAAGGGGGATGAGGAGGCTGGGGCCCCGACCCCACGGCAGCAGGAAGCGAGTCCGAGTGAATCCTGCCTCAGTGGGGGCTCCTGGCACCAAGTGGGCTGTAGGGAAACAGCCCTGACCATCGCCCTCTGCCTCTCCCCAGGTGCAGAGTGTCGACATCGCAGCTTTCAACAAGATCTGAAGCCTGAGTGTGTGCGTGTGTGTGCGTGAGGCCCTGCCATGATTAAAAACTGAGACCGGCCCTCTGGCTCCCGCCCTGGTCATTTCCTGCCCATACCTGGCCTGTCTCCTTTCCCGTCTCAGCCCCGTCTCTGCCCTGCCAGCTCCACACGGTCCTCACAGCTGCCGACACCCTCCAAGGCCGTGCGACCTTGCCCCGGCAGACCTCCGCTTGCCCCTCTGTCTCCTGGCCACTCCCTCTGGGGCCTTCCTTCTTTCCATGGCAAGCAAGTCCAGTTCAGGGGGTTTAAAAAGCCAGAAACCGAATCTGTTAGCTTATTATCTGGAGAGGGATCACTGCTCCCCGCCTCCCCCAGCCTTCTGTAAGCACTGTCCCCCATGCATGGAAGCAAGTATGGAAGCCTGGAACTGTCCGGACAGAGGCCCCAGCGGCAGCTGGCCCTGCTGCCATGCCCTTGGTCATGTGCTGCCCTGGCCCTCCCCTCATTCAGTCCTGGTGCTCCTGCCCGCCTAGATCCAGGGACTGTGCCCCTCCCTTGACGATCTGGGGTGGCCAGAGTGGGGCTGCCTGTGCTCTGTGGAGCTGTACCTTAGTGTCCTGGCAGCCCCATGTGGTCAGCTTGTGTGGCCATGTCCCCTCCCCTGGACCACCCGTGTCTGCACTGGGGTGAAAGAGGTTGGGGTGTGATCACTTCTAGTCAGACTGTCCTCCGGGCCCCAAGCCACAGGGAATGGATCCCCTGGATCCTGAGGACCCTGACTACCCTCAGAGCTTAGGTTTCCCGTGGGGCTTGGAGTGCAGGACCCGATAAAAGCCGTCACTGAGGAACACTGGCCCTTCAGAGCCACAGAAGGCCTTTTGGTGCCATCTGGCTGGGCATGCACCCCGTGTCATGCCAGCCTTTCCTGGGTGCCAGGCCCTTTCCAAACGACGTTCGTGCCCATCTGGGCTCCCTTGTCGCAGCCTGGCTGCTCAAGCTCCAGCTGGGGCAGCCTCTGGCCTCCGCTCCCCAGGCCCAGGGCACAGGCTGGCCGGCGGCCAACTGCCGTCCTCTGGGTCGCTGCGGGTGCAGCCTGGCTGGCCTGTCCACCGTTTCCGCCCCCTGGAAAGCTGCATCTCGTTACCCGGCCAAGGGGTGGAGCCCCGGGCCACAGGGAGCACCTCCAGTGACCGGACCGCGCTCCAAAGAGGCCGTTGGGCCTGGAGTGGGGTTGGGGGTCCGAGAGGAGTTGGGTGACATCCCCACTCCATCCCGGGTCCAGCTGTTGGGGTCGCTTTCAGCGCGCCGAGACCATCACACCCATCCCGTCCTCTGGCGCGTCCCGTGCTGCGCCCAAACCTTACGATAAGCCCCGCCGGGAGCGCGCCATAGGCTGGGGCGCGTCACGGGGCCCAGGCCGGGGCGGGCCGGGGCGGGCCGGGGCGGGTCGGAGTCCAGACGTCGGGAGCGGGATGGCGGCGGAGCAGGACCCCGAGGGGCGCGCGGCAGCGCGGCCGCTGCTCACAGACCTCTACCAAGCCACGATGGCGCTGGGCTATTGGCGCGCGGGCCGGGCGCGGGACGCCGCCGAGTTCGAGCTCTTCTTCCGCCGCTGCCCGTTCGGCGGCGCCTTCGCCTTGGCCGCCGGCTTGCGCGACTGTGTGCGCTTCCTGCGCGCCTTCCGCCTGCGGGACGCCGGTAGCCGCTCACGCCCGACGGAAGCCGCCACCTCGGGAGCCCCCCACGCCCCACGGGACCCCTCACCCCGGGAGCCCCCCACGCCGCACCGGACCCCTCACCCCGGGAGGCCCCCACGCCCCACGGGAGCCCCCACCCCGGGAACCCCCCTACACCCGACAGGAGCCCCCACCCCGGGAGCCCCCCCACGCCCCACAGGAGCCCCCACCCCAGGAACCCCCCCACACCCGACGGGAGCCTCCACCCCAGGAACCCCCCCACACCCGACAGGAGCCCCCACCCCAGGAACCCCCCACGCCCGATGTAGCCCCCTATGGCCTGCGGAAGTCCCCGCCCGCCCGATGGAACTCCCATGCCCACAACCAGTTTGTCCCCGCGCTCAGTGAGGGACATCTGCGCTCGCCTTCTGCTTAGGAGTCCCTAGGGATCCCCACCCCTCACCCTCCTGCCGGGGCCTGCACGTCACCTCCGCTCAGCGCAGTAACCTGGCTTCCAGACGTGCAGTTCCTGGCCTCGGTGCTGCCCCCAGACACGGACCCCGCGTTTTTCGAGCACCTTCGGGCCCTCGACTGCTCCGAGGTGACGGTGCGGGCCCTGCCCGAGGGCTCCCTCGCCTTCCCAGGCGTGAGTAGGGGTGAGCGGGCGGGGCGGGGGCACGGGGTTAGGTCCGGCGCAGGGCTGACTTCGCTCCGCGCAGGTGCCGCTGCTGCAGGTGTCCGGGCCGCTCCTGGTGGTGCAGCTGCTGGAGACGCCGCTGCTCTGCCTGGTCAGCTACGCCAGGTGGGCTTGGGACGGCCCTCGCGGCGGGGTTCTGCACTGGGCAGGGGCGGTGGGGTTGGCTGCCCAGGGGTCCCAGGGCTGGCCTCCCGCCCCCACTGTGCAGGGTGTAAGGAGGGGCCGGGTGAGGGTAGAGCTCCGGGGCTGGGAGTTCCAGGCCCCAGGTAACTCTGCCATCTTGGGTGGTCTGGCCACCCCCACCCTATGCCCCCTGACTCTTGGCTCTCCACAGCCTGGTGGCCACCAACGCTGCGCGGCTTCGCTTGATCGCAGGGCCAGAGAAGCGGCTGCTAGAGATGGGCCTGCGGAGGGCTCAGGGCCCGGACGGGGGCCTGACGGCCTCCACCTACAGCTACCTGGGCGGTGAGGGTCTGGTGCCGGGGAAGGCAAGGGCGGGGAAGGAGGAGCCCCGGCTTGGTCCGAAGTCCCCCAATCCCACCGCCTTCCTCTCCAGGCTTTGACAGTAGCAGCAACGTGCTAGCGGGCCAGCTCCGAGGTGTGCCGGTGGCCGGGACCCTGGCCCACTCCTTCGTCACTTCCTTTTCAGGCAGTGAGCTGCCCCCTGACCCGGTCAGTCCCTCGTCTCAACCCTGCTGTCTCCAGGCAACAGGCCCCAAGCAGCCCTTGCCCAGGAGGGAGGCATGCCACCCGGGGAAGGTCACCCCAGTGCTGTCCCAGGAAGCTGGCACAGCCTGCGTTACCTTTGCCCTCAAACCAGGGTGGCCCTGGCTGCTCCCAGGCCTCACTCAGCATTCTTGGCCCCCATTCTTCACCAACCCATTCCACAGATGTTGGTGCCAGCGGCTGGGGAGGGCCCTGGGGTGGACCTGGCGGCCAAAGCCCAGGTGTGGCTGGAGCGCGTGTGTGCCCACCTGGGGCTGGGGGTGCAGGAGCCACACCCAGGTGAGCGGGCAGCCTTTGTGGCCTATGCCCTGGCCTTTCCCCGGGCCTTCCAGGGCCTCCTGGACTCCTACAGCGTGCGGAGGTGAGTCCCAGCACTCTAGGAGTGGGCTCAGCAGAACCTTGGCAGTCCCTGACCCCCTTATCTGTCCCCGCAGGAGTGGTCTCCCCAACTTCCTGGCAGTCTCGCTGGCCCTGGGAGAGCTGGGCTACCGGGCAGTGGGCGTGAGGCTGGACAGCGGTGACCTGCTGCAGCAGGCCCAGGAGATCCGCCAGGTCTTCCGAACCATTGCTGCCCAGTGAGTTCTCCAGGGAGCAGGTTTGCCTGGTGGGAGACCCCCGGGGAACCAGGATTTGGGAGTGGGGCAGAGAGGGACAGTGAGGCAGTCTCCTGCAGGCCCTGGCAGGGAGGTAAGGGGTGGGGCTCCCTAGGGGCTCCTAAGCAGAAGGTGAGCACAGGTGTCCCTGACTGAGGCCGTGGGGGGGGGGGCACTAGGTGAATCAGCAGACCTGAGGGCAGCCCCCACCCTTTCTCCACCCACACGCAGGTTCCAGGTGCCCTGGCTGGAATCAGTCTCCATCGCGGTCAGCAACAACATTGATGAGGAGGCGCTGATGCAACTGGCCCAGGAGGTGGGGTGGGCAAGGGGGTAGGCAGAGGGTGGCTGGGGGGCTCCTGGGGCCCTTCCAGGTCCTGGCCCGGCTCACTGCCACCTCCTCTCCCTCAGGGCAGCGAGGTGAACGTCATTGGCATTGGCACCAGTGTGGTCACATGCCCCCAACAGCCTTCCCTGGGCTGCGTCTATAAGGTGGGGACAGTGTCCGTGGCCCAGGTCGGGCGGGTCTGAGGGATGGTGAGGGGTGGCGGATGAGGACCAGCCAGCTTAACATCCTCTCCTCACAGCTGGTGGCCGTGGGGGGCCAGCCACGAATGAAGCTGACGGAGGACCCTGAGAAGCAGACGTTGCCTGGGAGCAAGGCAGCTTTCCGGCTCCTGGGCTCTGACGGTGAGCGCCTCCCACCCCCTCCATCGTCCGCCTTCAAGGCACCAGGGCCCCCCTTATTCTTGACCCCACCCTCACAGGGTCTCCCCTCATGGATGTGCTGCAGTTGGCAGAAGAGCCGGTGCCACGGGCTGGGCAGGAGCTGAAGGTGTGGCCTCGAGGGGCTCAGGGACTCTGCACTGTGCGGCCAGCACAGGTGGAACCACTGCTGCGGCTCTGCCTCCAGCGGGGACAGGTGGCTGCTCTGCCCTCATCTTGCCCCAGCCCTATTGGAGCCCTCGCCGGGGGCCAGCCCTAAGCTGCTTTCCTTGCCTCTTCCCTGCAGCTGTGTGAGCCACTCCCATCCCTGGCAGAGTCTAGAGCCTTGGCCCAGCTGTCCCTGAGCCAACTCAGCCCGGCGCACAAGCGGCTGCAGAGCCTGGCACAGTACCAGGTGGGGGGATGCCCACCCTGGTGTCCTGCCCTGGGTTCCCTCACCCTCCCACCCACCTCTCCCCTCCTCTGCTCCCTGCAGGTGGCGCTGTCAGAGAGGCTGCAGGCCCTGGTGGACAGTCTGCGTGTGGGGGCGTCCCCCTGAGTCTTCCAGTGGGGCTGCCTGGAAGCAACAAGAGTCACTAACCCCACAGCTTGTCCTGTGTCGTTGTTCACCTGGCCCCAGGGCCTCCCGGGCTGGGGCTGGGGCGGGGGCTGGGCTGGAGTGGGAATCTCAGCTCGAGGAGCAGGAGGGTTTGCACCCTGGGGAAAGCAGGGGTCCTGCTGGGGTGGGAGACAGCCCTGCGCTGAGGCCTGAAGGGCAGCCGGGAGTCCCCAGCTGGGGTGGGCTGTGGGGAGTCAGGTCCCACACTAGAGCTGCAAGGCCACAGGCAGGGAGGGACTTGCTGCAGAAGACACCTCCTTGCTAGAGGCAGGCTGGGGGCGGGACAGAGTCGGGGGGGTGCCAGGTAAGAGGGTCCAGCCGTGGCCCTGGGCGCCCACACCTGCCTAGGCACTGCCCCCAAGCTCAGGGTCAGCAAGGACATTTCAAACTCCACAGTCCAAAAGTGAGAGCTCAGGTGTCTCCTGCCACTGCTGCTGCCAACCCGGCACCACCCTGGTATCTGTCACCAGCCAGCCAGGCCTCAGGGACACAGCTCCCGACCCAGCAGCCCAGGGAAGGGGAGGAAGCACGGGGAAGCAGCAGAAGCTGGCCCTGACTCCTGACTCAGCTGCAGACACCCAGCCCAGGTGGCGCTGTGCCTGGCTGTGTGCTGGGCTGGCCCTGACTCTGTGCCAGCAAGTTCCTGATCTCAGGGTTCCACCAGTTTTGGCAACACGGGCTTCAGAGGAACTGCTTGGGAGAGAGGTTCTAGGCTTGGCAGGAAGTGGAGGCTGGGGGCCTGGGCCTCACTTGTCCAAGCAGCCTGAGGAGGCACAGATAGGCAAGGGCGTGGGGGGAATGCTGACTGCCTGGGGTGCGTCAGGGGCACTTCCGCCTGCCCAGGCATTCCACCAGACCAGCTCATCTGGCTCCCCAGGGCTCAGGGCTGGGCAGTACCCACTGTGTGGTTGGCTGAGGGTGGAGGGCGGGGACTTGGAGCAGGGGCCCATCCAGCCAGCCCCAGGGAGTATGAGCTGGAGAGAGAGATAGACTCACACACACTGGGCAGAACACAGCATGCCCCAGGTACCCACAGGGCACCCTGGCACTCCGAGGGACCCAGCCAGGGAGTGTTCATTCGTTGTTGCACTGCTGTAAAGAAATACCTGAGGCTGGGTAATTTATTTTATTATTTTTTTGAGACAGAGTCTTGATCTTGTTGCCCAGGCTGCAGTGCAACAGCATGACCTCGGCTCACTACAACCTCCGCCTCCTGGGTTCAAGTGACTCTCCTGCCTCGGCATCTGGAGTAGCTGGAATTACAGGAGCCCACCACCACGCCTGGCCAATTTTTTTTTTTTTTTTTGAGATGGAGTCTCGCTCTGTCACTCAGGCTGGAGTGCAGTGGCACTATCTCGGCTCACTGCAACCTCTGCCTTCCAGATTCAAGCGATTCTCCTGCCTCAGCCTCCTGAGTAGCTGGGACTACAGGTGCATGCCACCACACCCAGCTAATTTTTTGTAGTTTTAGTAGAGACGGGGTTTCACTGTGTTACCCAAGATGGTCTTGATCTCCTGCCCTCGTGATCTGCCTTCCTCGGCTTCCAAAAGTGCTGCGATTACAGATGTGAGCCACTGTGCCTGGCCTAATTTTTGTATTTTTAGTAGAGACAGGGTTTTGCCATGTTGGCCAGGCTGCTCTCAAACTCCTGACCTCGTGATCCACCTGCATCTGCCTCCCAAAATGCTAGGATTCCAGGTGGGAGCCACCACACTCAGCCAAAACTGGTAATTTATTTAAAAAAAGGTTTAATTGGCCCATGGTTCTGCAGGCTGTAGAGGAAGCACGGCTGGGGAGGCCTCAGGAAACAATGTCATGGTGGAAGGGAAGCGGGCAGGTGTTACATGGCCTGAGCAGGAGGAAGGGGTGGGGTGGTGCCACACTTTAAAACAACCAGATCTTGAGAACTCTATCATGGGAACAGCACCAAAACGGGAAGTCCACCCCAGCATCCAATCGCCTCCCACCAGGCTCCCCCTCCGGCGTTGGGGTTACATTTCAACAAGAGATTTGGGTGAGGATACCCTTCAAAACTAGCCAGGACCCAGAAGGGCCCCCCCAACAGTGGTGGGCACATGCACAAGCTCTGGAGGGGCCATGCTCCTCTGGCATCTTTGCTGCCCCTCCACCCCTCCGGGCTGCCCCAAGCCCACCCAGTCATGCCCGTTCCAGGGTGTCTGACAGAGCCAGAGGGCAGGGGGCAGGGCCAGCCCCTAGCCCCAGGCCCAGTGGGGAGCTGACTGCTGGTCAGGGGCTGAATCAGGCCTCAGCTCAGGGCGGGGCCTAGACAGCTGGACCCAGGCAGGACCTCCTCAGGGCTGTCCACAACTGCCCCGAGCCCCCGGCCAAGAAGGGCTGGTGGTCAGGGTTAGGCCCTTCTCCCCCTTTCTTTGTGATTCTGCCAGCTCTTGGGGATCCTGTTCCCAGGGCCCTGGTGGGAAGAGCCAGACCACGGGACTCAGGCTCCAGGCTGGCCACTCCCCTCCAGCAGCCAGGACAGAAGGGCCCCTCATAGGCCTGTAGCAGGCACCTCCGTGTGGCTCCCCAGCCCCCCCACGCTCGCGCACGCGCCATCACGCCTGTCCACGGTCCCGCCCGGGCCAGCTTCTAGGTCAGGCCTGGGCACGACTTCCCAGGAGGCGCAGCAGCAGGTGCTACCGGCAAAGGCAGCTATGGCTGGGGGTGTGTGGGGCTGGGTCCAGGAGACGCCCATGGGGGCTCTAACCCTGACAGCTGTGGCCGAAGGAATCCGGGCCAGGCAGGGGTGGTCCCGGGAACCCCCTTCCACAGGCCCTCAGCCTGAGCCCTGGGAGCTCAAACCTGAAGCTGAGCCACAGACCCAGGCACTCACCACCCATTCTGAGACTGAGCCTGGGTGTGGGGCCACTGTCCCTGAAGCTGGCAGCGAGCCCCGCTCCCCTGAGGGGCCCCACCAGGTGAGGGGTGAGGGAAGGGATGCTGTGTGGACCACCAGGGCTCCTGTGAAGGCTAGGTGGAATGGGACGTGCTGGGCCTGGCGGAGGTCAGGGCGAAACAGGCTGGTGAGCGACAGAGGAATGAGGGACTTTGTAGGAAGCCGGGTGGGGAGCTGAGGGACCGGGAGGAGAGCTAGGAGAGGCTTGGGCACTTCAGACACCCCACCCGTCCTGCCTAGGTTCCCCAGAGTTCCTGGGAGGAGGGGGTTCTTGCTGACCTGGCATTGTACACGGCTGCCTGCCTGGAGGAGGCTGGCTTTGCAGGGACCCAGGCGACAGCGTTCACCCTGTCCTCAGCCCTGGAGGCCCGGGGGGAACGGCTGGAGGACCAGGTCAGCTTCCACCCTCTCCATGCCCTACAGACTCCTGCTGGTCTTGACGCCAAGGTGGTGGGAGGATCCTGGAGAGCACAGCCTGACCCTGCCACCTTCAGGCTGCTCCAGCCAGGTGGGGTTGGGTGGGGGTGAGGTGGGTACAGAGGAGAGGGAATGGACAGTGGACGAGGTTGACTGCTGAAGTGTGCTTCTCCCCACCAGGTGCATGCTCTGGTGCGAGGGCTGCTGGCGCAGGTGCCCACCCTGGCGGAGGGGAGGCCCCGGAGGGCAGCCCTGAGAGTGCTGAGCGCGCTGGCCCTGGAGCATGCGCAGGACGTGGTGTGTGCGCTGCTGCCCCGCTCTCTGCCCCCAGATCGGTAACCCAACCTGCCTGGCCCTGCGGCCCCCACGCGGCTTCCTTCCCCCTTCCCGCTTGGCGGTGGAGTCTGGCCCAGACAAGGGAGCTGAAAGGGATCAGGGCCTCCTTACACCATCCCCGCGGTGACTCCTGCCCGTATCCATTCCTGTTCCCCTCGCTTTTAGTTCTGCAAACTCCGCCCACCCTCCCGCCACAGAGTTTCTGAGGCTGGGCTCCTCTGGGAGCCGTCTTCTAGCTCCAGGTGGTCTCCCCCGGAGACCATGCTGGGGTTGGCTCCGGAGTGGGGTGAGTGAGCCTGGGGTGCTAACGTGCCTGGACACCCCTGGCTCTTTGGTTAATTTTCCCCCGAAGTTATCTTTGGTTTTATTCTCTGTAGCAATTAAAAAAAATCATAATAATGCCAGGTTTACTTCACTGTCACTGACCCAACAGGACACCCAGCGGGTCCCCATCCGGCAGCCGAGCTCGAGACAGGCCATTTTGTGGTCTGCACAATTAACACTTCATTTGTTTATTTGGGATTTGGGGGTGGGGGAGATGGGGTGGCAGTTTCCTGCCCCTGCCCTGCTGGAGTCCTAGTGGCTGCCTCCACCCTAGCTGAGGACCCTCTACATCTCCTCGACACCCACCCTGCACCATCCCTTGTCTCACACCAGCCCCCTCTGAACCCTCAGGGCAGCGGCCGAGCTCTGGCACAGCCTAAGCCGTAACCAGCGTGTAAACGGGCAGGTGCTGGTACAACTGCTGTGGGCACTGAAGGGTGCTTCAGGGCCTGAGCCCCAGGCGCTGGCGGTAGGTGGCTCCAGCCATTCCCCAGGCACGGGCGCAAGGTGGTGGGGAGGAGGGCGGTGACTGGGAGTTTGCACCTTGGTCACTCCTCCGGGAATGTCCTACGAATGTCTGAGGCTTAGTCCCTGTCCTGTCTATGGCATGCCTGTCCCTCTGCTGTCCAACGCAGCTCCCGGCGCCCAGGGCCTGAGTGAGCCACTTGTTCCACAGGCCACTCGTGCTCTTGGGGAGATGCTGGCTGTTTCAGGCTGCGTGGGAGCCACAAGGGGCTTCTACTCTCATCTGCTGCTTGCACTAGTCACACAGCTGCATGAGCTGGCCCAC